CCTTTGGGCCGGGGCCCCCCCCGCCCCCCCTCCCTTTCCCCCCCCGCCACAGCTGCAGTCGCAGAACACCATTTTCATGCCTGCCTCGCCGGCAGGCATGGAGAGAGCGGGGTCGTACGTGGCAGTGGACGTCGCGCCGGGTCGAGGTGGCTACAGGGACACCATGGAGCCTTCCACCGCTTGCTCCTGCAGCTGCGCCTGCTTCTGCAGCTGCCCCTGCTCCCCGCTGGGGGTGGAGGCGGGGAAGCCGGTGCGGCACATGGCCGCGCTGGTGCTGGCCCGGGGCGGCAGCAAAGGGATCCCGCTGAAGAACATCAAACCGCTGGCCGGCCTGCCCCTCCTGGCCTGGGTGCTGCGGGCTGCCGTCGACGCCAAGGTCTTCCAGAGGTGCGCATGCGCGGAGGCCGCGAGCACCCCCTCCCTCCTCATTATCTGGATATGCGCATGCGCGGAGCCCGCGAGCGCGAGCTACTGTTTTCCCTGTTAGCTGGGTGTGTGCACTGATGCGCGCAGGTGGGCGAGTCCATTCTGTCCATCCTATGCGGGAGGGCTGTGCTGGACCTTCCATAGGGGGCTGGGCTGCTAGAGTGGTCTCTCCCACCCCGCTGGCTAAGCCCTATGTTGCCAGGTATACAATGATTATCCTATCTGTATAATAATTTCAACCCTTGTACGATGTACAGTCAGTAATAGTTAAAGTGTTAAAAATGTACAGTGACTTTTGAGGCAGTTACTTGATGCAGCATATGCAAAACCTGAGTCACGCTCAGGGAGTCTTAACCCACATTTGGGTTAGCTGTCAGCACTTTCTTATGATTGTTTGCCTCCAAATAAAGAAATGCTTCAGCTTTGATCCAGTTCTTACTCTTACAGTGAGCAATATAAAGTAAATAAGACTTATTTGCATATTTTTCAGTGTACAATAGATTTTCAGCAAATACGATAATTTTGAGCATCCAGTACGATCATTTCATATTGAAGACCTGGCAATGCTGCAGTCAGTAGTCACCGCCTGCCTGTCAGACTCTTAGAGCACCTTGTGGCAGAGTTAGGGTCTCCATCCTGCCTGTTTGGCCTTTGCCACACATCACGTATGTTGTGCAGTGCATGGGTGAATCGGGCAATAAATGTAGCCTGGTTATACCTGCAATGTAAGTATCACACAGTTAGTGTGTATTGTGGGTGAACTGTGCAATAAATTTAGGCGGGCCATGTGCAATGTGATTTTCACATGACTGGGTGATGAAGCTCACGATAACTTGCCACTCCTGTGACATAATTATCATGTAGTTAATGAGTGAATCTGGAAGATGGCATAGTGTGTACCCTCAGCAAGCTTGCAGATGATACCAAGTTGGAAGGTGGAGTAGACGTGGAGGATTCAGAGTGACCTAGAGAAATTGGAGGATTGAGCCAAAAGAAATCTCATGAGGTTCAACAAGGGCAAGTGCAAAGTCCTGCACTTAGGATGGAACAATCCCATGCACTTAAACTTTGTATAAATAAAAAACCTACCGTGGTCTGGTGGGGAGGGTATTTAGGCCATGTCTACACCAAAGCACCAGCTTGCACCATGACATTTCTTGGCGCATCCTCCATCCTGCCTGCTTTTGTATACGCTCTCCAAATTTGGAAATGAACCAGTTTAGACACTCCAGGTCATTGCTAGTGGCTTCTTTCGAGCGCACCAGAGATTAACGTCTCAAGAGTGGTCAGCAAGATGCTCCAAAACAGGCTGTCTGGCATAGTTTGGAAGCATGTCAGTGGGAGGAATGTGTTTGGGGACATCCCATGTAGATCACACCACCTGCTGTGGGTACTTGCTTGTGTAAAGGGTCTGACCCCCAGGTTCAGGCTTCTGTTCTGATCTGGCCTTATTAGAGTTAGGGTTTTTACAAATGGGTATTCTCCAATCAAGAAACTTTTAGTTGGAAAAGTTCTGAATCAAGTCCAGTAGTGTTCATTGCAATGCCTGCTCTGGTTAGTTATATCAGAATGGTGGTTTCAACAGCTTGCTAGTTTCCTACCTGCTGGCTGCCTTCATACACAGAGCGCATGGTTCATCTTACTTCTAACTACAACATTTTGAGACAAAAATGTGATGTTTTCTAGTGTCCTTGAAATAATTTTAATGCAGATGTATGTACACACAGTTTAAACTGACAGGGCTGGGGTTTGTGTGTTTAGTTTGAGAGAAGGTGGGTTTTTTCCCCCAGTTTTAGTAGCAGTTAGGACTGCAAAGCCACTCACATGGGTGTATCTTGTGACTCAGATCTACTGTCATCATCCTTAATATATATATGAATCCCCTGATGTCTGAGGTGGAAAAAATTACCAGAGTAATAACCAGAGCTGTGTGTAGGGTGAGCAGTATTACACTGTATAGTGCAGTGTGATACTGATGGTAGCGGCCTTGCCCGGTCCATGAGTTTTGCAAACATTATGCACAATACATAGATCCAACCCCTCCTTCTGCAGACTTTCCTTATTCTTGCCACCCTGCTAAACCAGAATTGAAGGGTTTTTTTTTGTGCCAAAGTCTGTGCCATTGTCTGTTGCTTGACTAACCTTCACACTGGATATGGCCTATTTGTTTTATTTCATTGCATTTCCTTTGTAAGCCATTTCTAACTAAAACTGTGCCAACAGATATGAATGGACTCTTATTTCAACATCTCCTTAGCCCCATGAGCTCTTACCAGGTGTCCTTAAATTAGTAAACAATGACATAAAATAGAGTAGAAAATGGATTCTTAGTAGGGTTGTGTTCCTAAACCAATACATTCAAAATTGAGGGTTTAGCTATATATGGCAAAGCAGCTGCACAGGACTACTGAGACTTGCAGGTGTTTGCTGCACTTTGACCTTACTTCTTTGATCAGCTATGTGACACTGCTAATGAGATCCAGCTGATTGCAGGGGCAATGCGTAGCTGGTGCACGAGGGTGCATGTGCACCCCCTGAGAGTGGCAATGCACCTCCTATAAAAAGGCACCACCGACATTGTCGGCAGCGCCTGTGGGCAGTTGCCACTTGCCAACCTGCTGCTGCCACTGCCGGCAGTGTCTGCAGGCAGTCCGCGATAGCCACTGGCTGCTGCTGACACTGCCGGTGGTGCCTGCGGTTGGTTGCTGACCCCTGGATAGTGCTTGCCACCACCCCACTGCTGTCGGTGCTGGCGGCATCTGCGGGAGCTCCACTGTTATTGCTGCCACGCTCCCATCGTCACTGTGTTCCCCCAGCCGCCGGGGGCATGTGCCGTTCGTGGCTGATTGGAAAAGTGGCATCTTTTGACATCAAAGTTGCAGCAAACAGCTCAGTGATTGTTAATTCAGTAACCTGCTGTGAATGAGCAGGTTGTGACTCAACTTGGACATGTATGATCCAGGTTATACTGTACTCCTACCTGCATGGTACCTCAGGCAACACGTGGTGTTAGATTGCAATGCAGCTTGGCTTAAAAACCTGTTTTTGAATCCAGTTAACTTTCTTGTATACAGTTGATCATAGCATTGCATTTTTAAAAAAAATTCTTATGCTGCGGGTAATAGCTTTTTAGTCCGTGAGAAAATCCTAGCATCTTAATTTTTTTTCCAGGTGCAGTGCACTATTTAACAATGGTGGTATTTAGGAGGGTGGTGGACCCCCCTGCTACTGATTGTCCAAAAGGCAAAACGTGTGGCAAAAATACGAGAGCAGAAATGGCGCTGCATGTCATGGGACATCACTGTGCTTTCCGTAGATCAGGGAAAACATGTATTCTGTATGCTTTTCCAATCACTTTTCCAATTTCTGCAGCAAATGGAATACTAGGATCCCTAGTCATGAGGAAAACTAATAATCATCTGGTTAATGTTATGGTGATGGAGCTGAAAAATAATGTTAATGCTTACTCTTACATTTATTTATTATTTCTCTATCTGCCAACAGTGTGTGGGTTTCCACAGATCATGATGAAATTGAGAATGTAGCAAAGCAGTTTGGTGCCAAAGTTCATCGCAGAAGTTCTGAAGTATCTAAAGACTCTTCTAGCTCTCTGGAAACCATAGCAGAGTTTCTTCGTCATCATCCAGGTATGTCAGTTTCTATTTGACTTAAGGCCCAAAGCTGAAAGATGTTGAGTGCCCTTCATTTCTATTGAAATCACTGGGGAAGAGAGAAATAATTGTCTTTAGAACTGCGTATGTTTGTAAATATTGTTAACAGGCACATGAAAATATTTTATTTTATACGCACGGAATATTTCATAAGAACAAATTTTTCACATTTTCTAATTTTTTCTTCTTTAGAGATTGATATCGTAGGAAATATTCAAGCAACTTCTCCCTGTTTACATCCCACTCATCTCATAAAAGTGGCAAGAATGATTCAAAAGGAAGGCTATGAGTCTGTCTTTTCTGTTGTGAAACGCTATCAGTTTAGATGGCATAAGAATAAAAACGGAGGTAATATTTTTAAGTTTCTGGTTATTACTAAACTTGATAAAGCTTCCAGTACAATAAATGTTACCTCTTTCTCATGTATGCTTAAAGCGACATTTAGATGCATAAACTTCATAGTCACAGAAATCAAATCACTTTCACACCCTCTTTGAACACTGTTATTTTAATATTCATCTTTTGTCTCATCTTAATTTTGTTAGGATGACTTAAAGTTCAGAGTGTGAATATCATTAAGTAACCATGGTTAGGCTTAAATGCTAAGTTTGTTTCTTGCTAGATATTCAAGTGACATGTAGATATGACCATATGACCTTTTCTTTATAGGAAGGGGTGGGGAGAAGAGAGAGACGTGTTCTTACTATGTTTTAGTGATTAACATTAATTAAATACTAGGGCAGGCAGAGTAGTTTTCCTTGAAGATGAATTAACAAATCAAAGTAAACCCTAGGCTTGTTTATAGCAAATGAAGGTAAAGACTAACTTGTTTAAAAAAGCTTTAAATTACCTCGTCTTCATTAGGATTTTTCATATTAGTTTTCATGCATTCGCTAACATAAATGAAGATGTATTTTTAATTGACCTCCTGGTTACCATAGCTAACACTGAATGGAGAGAAACTGAATCAACTTTTTGTAAAAGAGGTTCTTCCATTTGAGTATGACACATGTTGATGAGTTAGGACGTTGGATGCTTACACCGTCAGTGCCCATATTGGGCTCATTCTGTGACTAAAATAGAAGTCATTGGTCTCTGTGGAGACTAATTTGGTGTCTTTTGCACCACTGAGGGCACTTTTCCAAGTGTTCTGACCCGTTCTGATTAGAACATGTTGTAGCACACTCAATCCAGTGTGCTGCAGTCTCATGTATTCAGCGTCCTGCTTTTCAAAATGGCAATGGGGGCGCTTTAACTAAAGCTTGTTCAACAAGCTTGTTCCCTAGCCAAAACTTGTTCCCCCATCTTTAGGTAAAGCGCCCCTGCCACCATTTTGAAATGCAGGATACTGAATACACGAGATGCTGCAGGTGTTTTAATTAGAGTGGCTCCCGAGAGCATGTGTATAGGGGTAGTAAGATATTGCTCAAATATCCACATTCATCTGCAATCTTAATACATGTTTTCAGACCTTTGAATCTAAAATGTTAACTGTGTTGTGAAGTCCCAGTTCTGCATGGAGGTGAGCACTCCTAACTAGGGACCTACTTAATTTGTGGTTTTGCGGATTTTATGGAAACTCCGAAATCTGGGATTGTCTGCAAAAATAAATAAATAAAATGATGGCTTCTCAGTAGGAGCCAGTGGTCCCTGCTACCAGGAGGAGAAGGTGCCGGCTGGTGGGGCAGCATGAAGGGCAGCAGACAAGATGGCAGCTGCCCCCTTGTCCCTCCTCACCCTGCCAGGGCCTCTCTGCCAGTTAGCACCGAGGGGTGGGGCCTCTCTGCGGATCAGTGCTGAGGGGTAGGGCCGCTGTGAAATGCCCCCAAAATTGGCCGTGCGCGCCAAGAGCAGGCCATGAAAAACCCTTTGTCTCACCACAATTTAGGTAGGTCATTACTCATAAACTTCGTTGCCTCTGGTGGGAGTCATGGATGCTCAAAATCCTTCTAGAGCAGGGTCAGAGTAATCCTAAAACTATAGACCTGTGATCCAATAAAATATATTATAAAAAGAAAACAGGAACGTTGAAATCATGGACTGAATTTTACAATTCCGTACATTGTATTTTAGGTAGCCAGGAGATTCAGAGCTGTACCAGGTAGAGATCAGGAGTTGTCAGCCCTACTTGATTTACTGGACATGTATAAAGGGATAAATCTAGTCTAGGTGTGACGTGGAGCCAGTGCATGTACCACAACTCCATGTGTGTTAGATATTCAGTACCTGCTCTAATAACCAATGTCTCCTCAGCCTACCAAGTGTGGAAAAATAAGCTTCAGGTTCTAACCAAAACATTTCTTAAAGGATTTGAATGCTGAAGAATGAGCTTAGGTATAACCAGAAAATCCTTTCGTTAAAAGGAATATTTAAAGAAGAAGAGAGAGAACTCACCAGTGTCTGCAACTTAAGGGGCAGGAAAAACTGCTTTTCAGGAATGTGGTGTTTCTGATAGTGGCTGCTTACAAGAATAGTTTGCAGTTCAAATACAGGGCTCTTTCCAGTTAGCCTTAAAACACTGAAAACAGACAAATGTTATTTCTCTTCCTAGGTGTTTATATTTTTCCTCTTTTGCATTACATTACCTAATTTAACCTATTATGACCCAAGGATTATCATTTATAAGCCATACTAGATGTGTCCTAACAAGTAGTTACTGACTTTCTTAAGTTCAATGTTCTCAGGGTTCAGTGTTGCTGATAGTGACTTCATTCTGTGCATGCCTGTTTTGCAGAATGCATAGACCCGGCCCCTCCTTCTGCAAACATCCTCATCCTTGATCAGTCATATTTCTGCCATGTCAGTACTGCTGCGCACAAAGCTGTTTCCTGGAGCACAGTGCTCCAACAAATTTCCCCGTATACTCCTGTAGCTTGCTTGTGAGTCCTTAGGACCTCAGGTATGGTGCTAGCCACCGTGCATGATCACTGAATGTCACTAAATAGAGCCTCCAGTTGCCAAATCAGTTTCTGCTTCCCACTCTGGTGGGAGTCCAACCAACCTGGCACTTAGCCTGCTCAGTTATTTCCGCATGTGGATGGATAGTGATTTCTAACCACTGGAAATGCATGCCTCTTAGTTCTCTTATTAAATATTAAATCTCTTTGGCTGGGTTTGTTCATAGGAATTCTTCATAAGAATTTTTGTAAGAAGGGCTCTTCTCTTATATGTTTGCCTGGTATTTTCCTACAGAATTGTCATCCTACTCAAGCCCCCAACCTCATTTCATTTTTCTCATGTGGGAAGTGCTGGGATGGTGCGTCTCTGCACCGTCCTCAGGCCTTTAGTGCAAGTAGTAGTTTACTCTGTCGTGTGTCCCAAACAGCCAGTTCTGCTCTTAGATGAACTCTGGTCATATTTGCTGCTGTAGTTAGTCACTATGGACTTGTGTTAGGCTCCAGGGATCTCTAGTGGAGATAATGTATTATGCCCCTCTTTGCCTTTTCAGTTTTGAAAATTGGAGGTGTTTTTGGACACCGTTGCTTTTAAAGATATGCAAAGTTGATATTTTCACCCCTACCTCCTTCCCTTTGGATGGTTAGGGGAAAACAGCTCTACCAAGTATCAAAAACAGCGCTAGGGGAAAGAACAATCTTTCACAGAGGCAAGGGCTGTCTGTCAGGACCTGGTGAGTTCATTGGAAGGGAAGGAGTGACAGAACAGCTTTTCATCTGAAGACTTCTGGGAGAAATGTGTCCTCTGTAAGCTGGAATTAGACTTTTTCAGCTTCCTGTGCAAGAAATACAAGGTATTCCTCCATCTCATGATTCCATGTTTCTAACAAAGAATGGGCGGTGCAGTGATTCTTAAAAAGATCTGTGCTTTCTGAGACCCTGAGACAGTAATCACAGTAGCCTGTGGCACAGTTAAGTCCTTAATTTCACAGAGCAGCTTATTTGAACTAAGAAGTGACTTTGAACAAGTATTTATTTTTTTTCCCTTTGTGAATGACTTTTTTTATTTGTTTACCTTATGTGAAGTTTTGGAACCTGACAACGTGAATCCAGCAAAGCGCTGCCGGCGGCAGGATTGGTCAGGAGAGCTATATGAAAATGGGTCATTCTACTTTGCTACAAGACAAATAATTGAGAGTGGCTGCTTGCAGGTTGGTGCTTCTGTTTTCCTGTAATGCATCTTGTACCCTTTGGCTTTAGCAACTGTACATGCATTTGACTGGATTATGTAATAAAAATCAATGTCCAGTAGCAAGGGTTTAAACTCCAGTGTGATGTGACTCATTCTGTATAACAATTATTGTTTAATCCTCTGGCATTAGCTGGAGCACACTTATGTTAGTGTCCTTCATGTGGAATTGTCATCAGCAGCACGGAATATAAAGTGAACAAGGGCTCACTCTGGGACCCTGGGGCAGCCTTCCTTAACACTAATATAGCCCCATCAAGGCTTGGCAGGTGAGAAAAAAGGAAGGAACCCAGAGGAGCTAGTGGGGGCAGGAGTCATGTGGTCAACAGGGGGTGTCCTGCTATGGAGGCACGTAGATCAAATGAGTCTTGCACAACCTTCTCAAATGTCTTAGTTTAAAATATTCTTGTCTGTTGTGCCAGCCTCAGTCACAGAAGGCCAGCCCCCCTCTCCTCTAGCAGGGGCCTAGTTCATTAACACTTTTAAAGTGCTGTGTAAGCACAAAATCTTTCTAGAACATCAGGAATCAAAATCACTTTACTTTCTTTCAAACAAAGTAGATACATTTTCCATGCTGTGGGGGTGTGTCCTACTGTTATGAAGTCACCAGTGGGTGTAGAACTGTTGTATCTCCTATACGTTAACATTAACTTCCAGTGTAAAAGACGATCAAAAACGAGATGATCTATCTGCCATGATCTCCAAGAAACAGTCGTAGCTTGTAGCCAGATTGCACATATTAGGAATATTCTAATGATGACTCTGGAGGAACTGGATCCAGGTTCCTTAATTGGGTTCCTTTGCCTGCAGGTTAACCCAACAGAGAATCCAGGCCACCCTGTAACTTTCTTACTTTCATGTCAATACTGTGCTGTTACTGTAAAAGGTACACAGGAAGAAATTCAGTGTGAAAGAGGCTATGGCTTTTACTAAAGAGGAAGTCAACCGTGCTTGCTACCAGTATGTTTGCTGCCATAGCCTTGTGGCGCTCAGAGTTTTAAAAAAAAATCTACCTTTTCTTGAAGTAAAAACAAAATTGCCAAATTTATTATCTTTTCTTTCCAGTTTTTTAAGGATAAGGTTCAGTCTGTGACCTTCTTAGTTTGGCCCAATTTCAATTCTGTCAGTACACTCCTAACATACTTGTACTGTGACTGATATAAAGGTCATGTTTTATGTGAACTCTGTTGGAAACTCTGTAATAATTGCAAAGTACCAAATGATTTTTCAGAAAAGTACAGCGAGCACTCTTCTGAGCACAACATTCAGTTTTAGGGTGCCTTATGTTATAGAAAACGAGCATATTTTTCAAACTCAGTACACCTCCTGAGGTAGGTCAGTATTCATTCCATGCTCCCATGTTAGAGTTGGAGAAATCTAGGTACAAAGAGACGACTAAGGTTCATTAGCTAAAGGTATTTAGGGACCTAATCCCCATTAATTTTTGGTAGGGTTGTGCCTAAAGATGTGGACTCCAAGCCTTCCCGCGTCATTTCAAAAAGGGCAACAGCTAATATTCTAATTGATTTTTTTTTTTTTAATTCCCCTTTCGAAAGGGGTCCAAGTGCTCTTTGTCCACATGCTGAAGTTACTTCCTCCTTGTGCAGAAAGATAGCCAGAAAGAGAGCCTGGTATTCCCAAATTAAAAAAAGTCTATCCTACCATTTAAGCTGATGCAGTTATACTGAAATCAGTTTTAAATATGCTCCTGCAGTTTTTCTGCACGAAGAGACTTAATGGAATCAACATTGTTTAATCTCATAGATTGCCTTTCTTGTGCTTTTGATGTTTTTGGTCTGACCGTTAGCCCGAAGAAGACAATAGTTGTGGAGCAACAACTTGACACCCCTCCCGAATTTAGAATAAATGATGAAAGCCTGGAAGTGGTTGAAAAATTCACTTACTTGGTACTGTCTTGCAAAATCTTGGCTTGGAAGCCAAAATTAATGCTTGCATTGGAAAGGCAAGCAACGCCATGGCTAAACTTCAAAAGGGAGTTTGGAAAAAAAGAGTGCTCACTCTGTCGACAGAGATGTCCGTCTACAGCACTTGAGTACTCACCTCTCTATTTTATGGCGGTGAAACTTGGACTCCTTATGCCAAAGAAAAAAGAAAACTGAACAGTCTCCTTCTTCAGTGTCTCCGCCGTATCCTGGGCATAAAATGGCATGGCAGAATCTTCAACTCCACTGTTCTGGAACGGGCCAAGATACCCAGTATATTTTTGCTTCTGAGCCAGAGACTCCTCTGTTGGTTAAGGCATGTGAACCATATGAGTGATGACTGAATCCCCAAGGACATAGTTGACGGTGAGCTGGCCACTGGCAAATGTCAACTTGGACAGTCCAAACTGCATTTTGTTGATGTCTGCAAGAAAAACCTTCATGAGCTGTGCATCAATGGCCAGTGCTTGGAATCAATCACTTAGGACCATTGTGAGTGGAAAGCTGCTGTGAAGCAGGGCTTACATCACTTCGAGATGGAGAGGGTCAGTACTGAGCTAGAGAAGAGGCATCCAAGGCAGATGAGAAAACAGTACTTGGCATGCCAGTGCAAGCTCAACTGAGTTTGTATGTGCAACTTGCCTGTCATGCATTGGACTCCTCAGCCACTCAAGAAGCTGCAGTGGTATCCACTAAGCTACCAAAGGTGCAGTCCCCATGGTCTCCTGAGACTGCTGGCTGCCAATAATGAATAAAGTGACTACAGCATTCAACATGTCTGTGATGTGCTTTTCCAATAGTGGGAAAAATACAGCCCGTGAGCCAGATCTGGCCCACCAAGGAATTTCATCCAGCCCACGGCAGGTCCCTCGGCCCTACCTGGCCCAGGCATGGGGGGAAGGCTGGGCCATGGCACATGCAGCCAGTCCCACCCCACTGGGGCACACAGCAGGGCTAAGTCGATGCAGTGGCTGGACTCAGCTTTCTTCTGGCTGCCAGTGCTAGACCCAGACCCTCTGTTTGTACACCCCAGCCTGTCCACCCCACACCCACTGCCGAGGGTGCAGGATGAAGCAGGTGGACAGGTGGCAAATGGGTGGACAGATGGACAAGATAGGCAGAGGCCTGGAGCCCAGGCCAGGACCGGCACAAACAGGGCACATTTGGCCAGGTGGAAGGAGTTGGGGTGGGTGGGCAGGGAGTAGCGTCCAGGAGCGGGATGGGCAGCCGGGGCCAGGGCTGGGATTGCGGGGCAGTGAATATTTAGCTGAAAGCACAGCTCTCTGCACATCCCTGTCCAGGCACCGATTCCATGGGTAGGAGTGTGCGGGGAGTGGATTGTGGCTTTGCCCAGGTCCCTAGCCCCGAGCTGTTGCTTCCCAACAATTGGCCCCAGCTTGGCCCCTGCTCATCCTGCTCCTGCCCATCCCCACCCTCCCACGGCCCCATCCTATCTGCCCAGCTGAGCGCGTATTGGCCATAGGGGTCTCAAGCCAGTTTCCACGGAGACCCTGCCCATCTGCTCTGTCCGGCATCTTCAGTGGTGGCCACAGGCTGGGTGAGCCTAGGCTGGATAAGATTAATTGTTCCCTCCACACCAGGTCAGTACCTCTCCTTCCCACAACAGCTCACAAAAACATTGTTGTATTAGTTTCTAAAATAAAGTATGGAAAACAAAACTAATGAGATTTAATTTTATTTAGGCTGGGAAAATGGACTACTTTGAAATGGGTGCCGAGCTCAGTGTGGACATAGACGTCGACATCGATTGGCCTATTGCGGAACAGAGAGTGATGAGGTAAAAAGGGAGGTTTGTGTTACTATGAACAAAATTTAGAACAATTTTTTATTATTATAATGCTTTTTTTTTGAAGTAAGTTGCCTAATTTAAAGATACTTGAGCAGTGCGCGCTCTCTCTCTCTCTCTCTCTCTCTCTCTCTTTCTTTCCTTATCTCCACACATCTTATATCTGAGAGCAGCTGAGCTGGTGCTGCCCTCTGTTCTAAAATTTTAATCATTGGCTGAAAGTCGTCCCAGTGACAGCTGCTTGCCCTGTACTCTGCTGCTGTGTCACAGCCGCTGCTCCCCTCAGGCCACAGCTCTACCCCAGCAGGGATGTGGGATGGCGGGTAGTGCGGGCAGCCTGAAGGGAGCAGCGGTGGCAGCAGCTGGGCCATGGCATGAGGTAGAGCTGCAGCCCAGCAAGCAGTTGGCAGTGGGTGGAGGTGAGGATAGCCCGGCTTCCCACATTTGTTACTCCTTGAGCTACTGGCAGTGCAGCAGGTGCAGGGGTCTCAGCGGCAGTGGTAGCAGAGTCTTGATGCCCCGCTTTGCCCTCCTGTGCAGGGTCCCACCTGCTGGGCTGTGGAGGTCTGAAGTGGCCCGTGTTGATCTGAAATGGGTGCAGCCCCGTGCCCGCTGTGGTTGCACAAATATGGGGGGCACATGCCCCCCATGACCCATATACACACTTCCCACCCCACACGCTGGGAGGCTGGTGGCGGGGGACAGTGAGTCAGGAGTGAAGGGCACCAGCAGGGCTTGGGGGGCTGTGGTTTGGGATTGAGGGGCACCAGCAGGGCCAGAGGGCTGTTTTCTATTTAAACTATTCACTGGGTCAGGACTGGCCATTGATGTTTGGTCCTGGTTCAAAAAAGGTTAAGAGCCACTGATGTAGATGTAGCGGTTACAATGTAGTAGTTTCTGTGGGTACCATTTGTTCTCAGTGTACTCGCTACATCAGTCTGTACCTTTTGACAAGGACTTGTGACACATAGATTGGGAAGGGACCAGGCAGCACAGCAGCAGATGGGGCAGGGAGCAGAAGGCAGAGCAGCAGATGGGGCAGGGCAAGATTTTAAAACGAGAATAAAAAGGACAATATGTGCAAATTTGTGGCAGAGCTGCATTTATTAATATATTATTTGTTTTGAGAAAATGAATTCATTCAGATTGTGAATGGGGTATACTTTAAAAGCTGACAAGATGTGAAATCTTCCTTTTTGTAAAAGGAAGCAAGAATCATAAAACTGATTCCTTGGCTTTAAATATCACAATTATATTAATGAGTTGCATTTTATTGTTTAAGTCTTCCATCCTGAAAATGATAGCTTCTTTGTCTAGATATGGCTATTTTGGTAAAGAGGCTCTACACAAGGTGAAATGGCTGGTTTGCGTTGTTGACGGATGCCTCACAGATGGTCACATTTATTTGTCGGAAGATCAGAAAGAAATGATTTCTTATAACTTTAAAGATGCTGTTGGGATCGAGTTACTACGGGAAAGAGGAGTTAAGGTGAGCATCCTTTCTGGAATGAGGGATTTTGTATCTCATCTACCTTTCACACTAAAACCTTAAATTTTATCGTTGAGTGGGAGCCGAACAATTCTAACAAATTGTGATTGGGTCACTCTAGCTCAATACACTGAGGTATCATGAATGCTAGGTCAGCTAATTGTAATGTGTGGTGAACTTAGGATCTCAGTTCCCTATAGAAAATGAATGCAGTTTTGAACACTTTCTAGATCTCACTCATAGAAGCATTTGCTTAGTGGATCCCAAAAGAAAGTGGGAAGGAATTTGTCCTGCTGTCATAACTGGTGGTGCCTGGGCTGCTGGCCCAGAGCACGCCTTGGGCAGCAGTCCACTCTCAGTATTTATACAGCTCCTGCTTACTTCATCTAAGTACCTCACAGACTTTTAACACCTTTGTTTTCTCAACAGCTTTGTAAGGTGGAGAAGTACAGGTATTTGGGTTACAGACAGGGAAATTGAAGCACAGGAGATTAACTGACTTCCTGAAGTCACCCAAGATGTGTGGAGCATTTGAGATCAGGGATCTTGCAGATTCTGCTACATAGCAGCATATTTGAGGTGCTGTAACTGTTGGCAACCCAAGCTGAGCTGCCTAACCTGTGTGGGAGCCCGTTGCCCTATCCTCTGCAGCTCACATTCA